CAAAGAAAGCTGACCACATTTCCTGCCATCCTGGTGATGGAGGCTTGTTTTGCTCTGTTTTTCTGCTAACATACATAGGTATGTTTCTGAGATAACCATGTGATCTGCTTCCACAAGCAAGGGGAGTTTGCTGACTCAGGGACCATTGAATTTTTTTCTAGGACAAATTGTGCAGTCCTTTCTACCCTTAAAGGCAAGAACCACAAGAAATCATGTGTCTCTGCTAATGGAGTCGGAGACACCATCCTTCTGGATTGTGGTCTTGGAATTAGTAGGAGCTGGAGCAAGAAGGAGTGTCTGCCACAACTCCTCAGCATCTCCATGTCCATGGTCAAAGTCACAGTAGCACTGGTGTTGTTCTCCCTTTGATCATCTCCTTGCCCATCTTGCCCACAGAATTACCCTTCTGGCCACTCCTTTTTCAGTGAATCATCTATTGTTTTGACATTCCCAGCACACCTCTTTTTTCATCCCATGTGGTTTCATCACTGGTTCAAAATTTGAGGCCAAGACTCAAGTTTATCTGTTTTACCAATACTGGGAAAGATAGCTGATTTTTAATTCTCATAAGGATCACAGGGTTGGATTGGGTAAGTCTAAAACTGCTGGAGATCACTTATTGACATCAAGGGGGGGGAAAGAGCTTATTTTAAATGAAATACACAAAATTGTTGGACCATCTGGATTAAGCTATGGCCATAATTTCAGTTATGTAAGCCAAATGCTATCTGTTTTGCTTACGTTGGTTTGAGTTGGGTTTCTTTGGATGGAAAATGAAATAATTCTGAGCCAAACAACCATCCTTGTCACCTGATTGGTATTACCCATCTCTACCCCAAAGATACTCAAGTTTAGCAATCATATAGGAGTGTCCACTGGTAAACCAGAGCCAAGGTTGGGATAACTATGATCTCCTGTCCACATTAGCCCAAAGATTAATAAGATGAAGCCAGATTCCTTAAGAGAAAATGGATACTTCATGCCAAGAGAAAATGGATACTTCATGCCAAGAACGAACACAAACTTCAATCCTAGAATAAGGATAAGACTGGGTTTATAGCAAAGGCAAAAATGATCTGAAACCATTGTTTCCAATGTCGTTATAGTGCAGCTTGTTTCCTTAATGGACCAGCATTTTTGGTGGTGAAGATGGGGGCCCACTTAAAAAAGGCAAATAAGGATAGGAGTCATCTCCCTCATCATCACAACCCATCAAGTATCAAGAGCATCACGGCAACTGTCAAGTACGTGGTCTTTTCCTGGGCATTTAGTTTCAGGAAACACAAAGAAGACCTCTACTTTGCATGTGCCTATTCTCTAACAGAGTGAGAACACAGAAAGATAAATTCAACAGACAAACTTTTACGTGAAACAGAAGGTGATTTGTCCCAAAAAGAGTGGCTGAGATGGGAGGTATGCATGAGTTTGACCACAGTAGAAACTCAAAGAAGGATGAATGTTCTACTTGGAAGATCTAAGAAGACTCAAAAGAAGTGACATTTGTAGCAATCACCTTCTTGTACCTTCCTCCCCAAAGTCACGTCCACCACCATTCTCATCACTTCTACTATCACTAGAATGGTCCTTATACTATCACTAAAAAGGCTAGAAAGAATAATAAATTCTTTCCCATGACTAGATATCCTTGCCAATAATATGTGTTCTCTCCCTTAGTTTTAAAAGGAATGTCTATCATCTATGTATTTATTAAATACTTTGGTTAAAAGTAGCATATACCAACTGAAGTTGAAGGGGCCTGTGATAGAAGGCCAAAGATCCAGGGTCCAGCCAGGCTTCAGAGTAGACTGGATCCACAAACTCCTGGATAGGTCTCCTTTCTGCTTCTCTCAGAATCTTTTGCTCCAGTCTTCTCTCTTCCCCTGCACCAGTTTGCTCCTAGCAGTGCCCAGGGGATCTGGAGACTGGGCAGCCAAAGCACTGAAAACCAGTACCATTGTAGAAGATTAAGAAATGCACCACCATAGGAAGCAAAATATAGCCAATTCTATGAAAAGAAAGACCTGAATAATGCCATTCTATTTTTTCCTAGGTGCTGCAAATGGAAAGCAGTCTGGTGCAACAGTTAAGAGCATGGATTCCACATTCTGATAGCTGCATGACTTTGGGCAAGGTTTGCCTTCTGTGAAAATAAAAAGAAAATAGGCCCTCTTTGGAGCAATGTTTCATACATGGAAAATAATCTGTGAACATTGAGTATTATAACTACAAAAGGAGCAGAGGACCAGTTCCTTCGTCTGAAAACATCCTGATGGGTTGTAAATGTTTAAAGATAAAGCACGAGCTAACTTTAAAATTTGGATCCAGATACTGCAGAATCATTCAAATTACAGGACAGAGAATTTCAAGCTTTCTAGAACAAACTAGAAGGAGAGAAGGGGAGTGAGAAAAAAGTAATATGGTAAGAGAAGGGGGCTTAACATGACATAGTATTACCCATGTGGAATGCCTAGTGTCAAAAGCACAAGATGGGCTTTGAAGAATAAAAGTGTCTATTACAAAGGTTTATAATCCAGATCCCTTAGATCACAAGTGATTTCCAGATAGAAATCACGGTCCTTGAAGTGAGTTGGGGTGGGGGGAATTACAGCTTATTTTCATCAACATCTAAATAAAAATTAGCATTTTCTTTAATTATAAATGTAGACAGCCCATCACAATACTATTGGTGGTTTGTATGGCTTTGTAATCAATAGATATCAAATATGTTTTCAAATAATACCACTGATGTTGCATACATCTCAGAGTGTCATTTGTACTTATTATTACTTTGGTATGAGCCTCATTTTATGGCTGCTACCTATATCAGGTTATTTAATGCAGTTAATTAATATGAATAAATATTAATAAAGAAGCATGTGCCTCACTGCATCACCAATTATAGTTTACAACACCTAATCACCAAATATGTATTAATTTTAAGATTGAGTTAAATTGTTTGATATGAATTTTTTAATTACAATAATGTATTAGAAAATTAATATAAGTCTGGTGGGTTCGAACCCAGCCCGGGCCTGCTAAACAATAATGACAATTGCATCCAAAAATAGCCAGGTGATATAGTCTCAGCTCCTTGGGAGGCTGAAGGAAGAGAAATGCTTAAGCTCAAGAGTTTGAGGTTGCTGTGAGCTATGACACTACAGCACTCTACTGAGGGTGACATAGTGAGACTCTGTCTTAAAAAAAAAAGAAAGAAAGAAAAAAAATTAATGTAAATCTATGACTTTTACAACCGTAAAAATATATAACACCCCTTGTATCTATTTTGGTGGTGGAGGTTGGTTGATTTTTGTTTGTTTTGGTTTGGTTTTATTTGGTTTCTTAAAATTTGTTTTCCGTATCTATTTTAAAATACTAAACATCTAGTATAATTACTAGTTAATAAATCAGAAAAAACTAGTAAGCCTATATAATTGATGGCAAAGAGATTGTTTCAGTAAAATATGGTATGTTCGTAAGGAATATGACCCAGTTATTAAAAACCATGCTTTTAAAGATTGTTTAAAGAAAAGTTGAAATGTGAAGTTAAGTGGAAAGATTCAAAATAGAAAATACCATAGGAGTAACATCTTCACTGTATATGTCTATGAAACAAAGTCTCTGCTTCCAAGAAGAGGTCAATAGAGAGGAGCCTAGGGGAGGGCATAGCAATCACGCTGGCTCCTGATTACAGCCCTGGGCTTGCTCCCCAAAGCTGGCCCTGAGACCACAGCCTGTTACCGATGATGTGTGACATCCTCTACCTTGCTTTAGCAGAGAACCAGCCTAACAACCCTCTAAGATTCTGCTGCATCAGAGATGAGCCAGGTATGCAAGGTCCCAGGTCAACTGAATGGACTGTCTACCATCAGTGCTCCTGTGTGATGAGAACGCACTGATCTTCAGCTGTCACTGTGCCTGGAGAATTTCATCACCATCACTCATGATCATTAACATACTTGGGACTATATATCCAAGCCAACAGAGCGATTTGCTGAAGATGAGCCCATTTGATTCTATAAAGGTCTGTTTCCCCTTGTGGAAGAATTGAGACACCTGTGATATAAATAAGGTGAGTAAAGCTCACTGAAATTTAGAATGACTAGAGTTCAAATCCTAATTCTGCTACTTTCCGGCTCTAGGACTTTGGGCAAGTTACTAAACCTCACTCTCCATATTGGTAAAATAAGAGTAAAAACATGTACCTCCGGGGGCTAGTCTGGGAACTAGAGATGATGCACTATTGCACCACTCATTTCAAGAAAATACCTATGTGTCCAAGGGGTATGAAAGTGAAGACCTTGGGCTTCTAATAGAAGGGCTATCCCTGCAGGATCTGCAGAGTTGCCACAGGTCCCATCAAATGTGCTGAGCCCATGGAAATACAGAGGCTCCCAAAACAATGTGAATGGATCAAAGGTGGGTCCTGAACACAGAACTGGAAATCCATCAGCTCCTCACATTTCACAATGGATAAGAGGGCCAAGGTCAGCAAATAGGAGCACAGGGCAATTAGACTTGATTTCAGATAAGCAAGGAATATTTCTTAGTATAATTTAGTATAAGTATATGCCAAATGCATAAGTATATATTTTTCTTCTGTTCATTGACATATTCTAGACCTCTAGAATATGCCTGGTATGTGGTGGACAATAAATATTTCTCCACCATGGACAAATTTCTGAATGTGTTAGCAGTCAATTAAGAAAGCAAAACCCTATGAGTAGTATGGAATAAGAGATTTATTCTAGGAATTGGCCCTTGTACAATAGTGGCTGTTGACTCTGCAGCAGGTACCAGATCTGAAGTTGCTACAGGACAGCAGTGCTGGTGACCAAACTGAATGTGAAGCAGGGGAGATGGAGATGCAGAAACTGGAACCTACACCTATCTCTCTCACGCCCAACCTTGTCAACAGGTAACTTGCAGAAGAAGTTGATGCCCTTTGTCAAGAGTTGCACATACATATAGCTGACCCAGGGTACAGAGAAAGTGATGGACAGAACCATTGGAAGGCAGCTGATTTGCCAAAAATATGCAAGGGACACAGCAGTGCCTGGTGTCCCACACACCATGACTGTATTTAATGACCTTCACTGGGAAATGGGTGGTGCTCTATATCTGCTTTCCTCTTCACTAAATTTCTCTTGTGGCCAACCCTAACCTAGAACCACTGAAGGAAGGGAGTTTGGGGAAACATAGTTCCAGTCTAACCAAACTGTCAAAGTTCAAAACCACCACAGTCCCCCCTTTCCTCCAAATGGCACCCATACACAGTCCTTTAATAATACACCCCGCCAAAAGGCAGTAGCAAAGTCAAGTCCATTTCCTGCTTATCTTGATGCAACTATTCCTCATGCAATTGAAAACATGCTTACCATCCTCCCCAAAGAGGATAGAGTCCCATGGGTCACTTCTTCCATTGCTGGTTGATGTTCATTCATCTCGCTAAGTCACACCACCCCTCTCATATTCTGTAACTTGGCTACTCTCAGTGCATCTTGCATCAGATGGAAGGAACGTGATGTTGTGGAAAAAGAAAATGCTTGATTAATACCAACATAATTCTATCAAAATAAGGAAAAAATATCCATAATTATAATAGTCCCTATTTCTCCAGATGGTCATATGGCCATAGCTGGTAGTTACAAGGTACATCTACCAACCTTCCCGTCATGAGCAGGTAGCCTGGCTCATCCTGGTTTCTTGCCTGATGGGGTGACCCAGAGCTTGGAGGATCTAGGCCATCAGCTTCCCCACCTGCATTGGGTTGTGGTAGCTTTCTAACCCTCATCACAGGACTTGGGAGTACTAAGAGGTGCCCCCAAGGGATGTCCTACATTCCAGACATACTCCACTTTACCGCCCAGTGTGGTAACCCAGTTTCTCCTTGGTATTCAGGATCAATCACCCCAGCTAGCACAGTCATTCCCTTCTCTGTTGGTTCACTGGGGTGTGAAAGAGTCTGAAGAGGCCAGAAGGTGTCCGCATTTTCACCTAATCGACCCATTACTGTGCGCCTTGGTGAGGGCACTTTTCCCTTGGAGTCTCAATCTTCTAGATCAAGAGAAGGAGGAAGGGAGTATACAAAAATGTTGCTCTCAGATCATTGGGGTAATAGTAACAAGAGTTCATCCTCAGACCTACCAATCCTGGTGATGGTGAGAACCCTTGTTGATTGATTCATGTCCCGAATCAGGAAGGACATTACACCAGCGCCACAGAATGCCACCACCAGCCAGCTTGGGCCATACAATATTCAGAAGACTTATTCCAGAATCCCATCATGCTACTTTCTGTAGAATGAAAAATATCAAAAGGCCGGTGAATTGAACAGGAGCCCACTGCTGGTCTGCATTTGCTGTCTAATGAGTCCCTTGGTCAGAAGTGAACAAGGCCTTCTGAGAAGCCGGGGTGGTGCTGGCATGGACAAGTCTGTATCCAGAGCAACTGTTCATTCTCAGGAGAGCAAAGTATTACCCCTTATATAAGAATAATTCAGTGTAATCATCTCTGCCACCAGACCGATCCCCTGGGGCCAGGCATCAGAGCTGGTCACTCCTGCTAGTGGGCAGAGCACTGAGCAGTTGCTGTAGCCAGATCCACCTTGAGGAGTGAAAGTCCATACAAAACCTCCATCCTTGCCACCAGAGCCACTTGGTTGATGAAATACAGACCTACAGGTGGCAGGGGAGGCTCCAAGAGACTCCCGGGCTCTATCTCATTGTGCCATGACCACAAGCACAGGGAGGGCTGCAGGAATCAGCAACACCCTGCACTTAGAGAATAAGCTGAAGTGTCCAAGACTGTGCCATGGAGAGTCAGAAAATTCAGGATAATATCAGTATCTTTCTCTGCAACCTGGGAGCATCTCAGATGAACACAGAATCTGTTTAGCCACGTGCATCTGCTTGGACGCCTTGCTCTGCAGGCCATTCCCCAGAGGAGAGACTCTGCCCCACCCCCACTCACTAGTAATGTGATTTGGGGGGCACTCTGAGTGGGTGGAACTCTCCTATGGTCACATCCATCCTTTCTTTGATACAGATGGCTCCTGCATAATGGACCTCCGAGAACACCAAATCAAAGCCTAGATGAGAGCTCTCTGTACCTCCCTCACCTCCACCTTATCCAATTCTTTCATGTTAAAAAGGCTTCTTTGTTTTAACCTTTTGTCCTTCCACTCCTGACAAGGCACCCAATCGGCATCATTTGATAGCGCAAAATAGGGCAGCACTGAACAAGTAACCCTCCCTCTCCTGCCCCCAGCCCTCAGCACCCTTTTCCTTGCCTTCTCTCCATTCCATGAAATTTCAAAGCAAGGAATTATTTCCTGCAATTCCTAACATACCTCGTGCTGGCCCCCTCAAAGCTCCCAGGGAGCTCAACCCTCTACCTTGAGGCCAGCGGTCTTCAGTTCATGTCTGGGCAATATCGTGCAGCGGGAACAAGCTCTGCTTGAGGCTGGAAGGATGGAGAGCTGGGTCATCATCCAGACTCTGCCCATTACTGGTAGTGACACTTCACCTTGACCCTTCTGCTTCCCAATATGTAAAACAGAAAGGAGAACAGCCCACTCCACAGGACTGTGGTGGGGCTTAGATGATCTTTGTGAAGACCTCTGCAGGGGGTAAAAATGTATCACTGTGTAATGAAGGTAATGTCACTATTTTTTAAAGAGTGCAGGTGACAGTGCATCAAAATTAGAGCAAAGCCAGGAGATGGGATAGGCCTCCACCAACCCCAGCCAGCCTCTCTGGCCTCTCCTCTGGGGGAGCAGGGCCAACCCCAAAGTTATTAGAGTTTTAGGTGCCACTAAGGTAAATATATTTATCCTTAGAATCAATCCTCACTTCTTCAGAGTTATTATTTCCAAGGTATTTTATATTTTTTAAAAGGGGGTTAAGGGGAATTGTGGGTTATGCCCTGAGCTCCAAGTATAACCACCAAATAACTCTACTTTCAAATTATGACCACAAACTACCCACATCAGATAGATCTGGCATGTCATTCTAATGCAGATTCCCAGGCCCTACCCTGATCATCACTTAATTTTTCCAAGCCTCAGTTTGTGAGTCTGAAAAACAGGCTTAATGCCTAAAACCTCTGTAAAAGGGTTAGGATGGACTAAGTGAACAAAGGAGAAGATGAATGGCCTACAGGGAGAGGTGTAATTTGTATCTGGATGAGGCTACCTCTAGCACCCCATCCAAATTGAGCTCTGTATCCCAGGTGCCCAGAGATGTGTCTCAGGTCTCAACCCACAGACAGCGTGGCCCCCATTCTTACCCACAGTGCGTCCTGGCCAAACACGCAGTAAGTGGACCCCTTGGCCTGGCACTCAGCCAATGCTGGAGCTGTTAGGAAATAAGAATGTGTATATTTATTGAAGAAATTAAAATGTGGATGCAACGTTGCACAGAGACAATTTACGAGGTTTTATGAATGTGTCTCCAAAAGGCCCGCTCAGCCACTGCCAATGTCAGGTCTGCAGGTCTCTGGGGTCCCAGGCAGTAAAGCTCCCTGATGGAGCCTAAGGGTGGGACCTGCTTGTGGAGGGGCATTCGAGCCACGTGGTATGAGTGCCTACACCTGTGAGTGTATGAAACATCAAGTGTGTACATGGGAGACAATAAATATGCACACACTACTGAGTGTGCAGGAGAGTGTGCCCATATGTGGGCACTGCAGCAGTGTGTGGCATGGGGCACTTGGGTGTGACTAGAAGAGGCTGAGCCAAGATGCAGAAGTGAACCCATTACTCACGCTCCCTTCAAAGGACAGCAGAGTCCTTGCTTCTCACAGGAAGGGGTTAGTCATCACCTTTGCTAAGGCCAAAGGCCATGGGATGTCAAGAAAAGCATATTTTTAAAGAAAAAAAGAATGCCTCTGAGCTGAGTTTGCAAGAATAGATAGAGTCTGGCCAATGGGTGGAGTGGGGTCCTGACCTGCTCACCTCCCCTGATGAGTTTAAGCCTCATGCTGATGTTACAGCCTGTTTGTTCCAGGTCTCGGAAGTTTCTGTGAGTCTGCAAAGCAGCCTTGGGCCTCATTGCTGTCGTGGGACCTTTGCCTCCTGCTCCCCAGCTGCCCAGCCTCAGAATGAACCAGCCCTCCCAACAACCCACTGGTTCATACCCTTCTAGAGAGGGTCAAAGGACTACGTAGAAGGTGTGTTATTAAAAGAAAAAGAAGGGAGAGAAAGGAGGAGAGGAGAAAGATACAGAGGAGGAAAAGAAGGAAGAAATGGTATTAAGAGCAAGTCCCTGAATATTCGGTCCGTCTTCATAAAAAATGGCCAAAGTAAACATAGCCTTGCAGGCCGTGTAAGAACGGCGATGCCCCCCCCCCCCCATTCCTCTGCAGCAGTGAGGGAATCAAAGGTTTTGCAAGATCCCGTTGGTTGCCTGGGCATGTCATCCTCACATGCATCTTCTAAGGCACGTGAATTAAGTCACTTCCCTACCAGACCAGGAGGAGCCCTGGGCATGTGTGGTTCATGAAACGAAACCAGGCCCTTCAGTTTATCTCCCCTGGTGAGCCAGGATGGTTGCCCCAGCCTGGAGTCTGGAGTTAGGGGCCAGCATTTGGGGAATACCTACCGAGTGCTCCATTCTTGACTGGGTGTGATCTCATACCCCACTTAGTGCTTCCCTAGCAATGATACTCTAAGATTTCAAGGGCTGAAGAGGCTACGACATTTGGTCAAAGACAAGAAAGTGAAAAATGGCAGAACCATTATCCATCTGAAACCAGAGTCCTCTCCCTCTTGTGCCTCTGGCATGATCAGCTCCCCTCTCTCAGAGCCTTTATAATGCTATGCACTGTCTCTCTCCCCAACCACCCTGAGAACTTCTGCAGGCCAGGGCCTGCCCTCCTCTTCCCAGAGGCCGAGGAAGACTGTCACAGAGTGATGCCTGTGGAAAGACTTGTGGAGCAAAGAAGGAAAGATGGAAATGTCTGGGCAGCTACATCTCTAGCCAGCGTCACTAATTCTGACTTCAGGAACTACTTAAGGCTCCCTGAGGGCCAGGAGGAAGATGCCAGAGCCAAAATCTCTGTAGTCTGAGCCACTGGATTCAGACCTCCCCACAGTTGGCCCCCATTCCCACCCAAGAGTCAGCAGGGAGTACGATTGCCAAAGAGATCAATTTCAGACCACAGACCCCCAACTTCAGCCAAAGAAAGCCCTCGCCCTGGTAAAACATGAATGTCGCCCTCCCTCTCAATCTTGGTGCTGTCCTATGACTTGGACAGAATGGGGTCTGTTCATCCTCTCACCTGCCTCCACGGACTAGTAACCAATCCGTCACACAGGGGTCTGTGACATGAAGACCCAGTGACACATGGTGCCCCCAGTGGCCCACAAAATCATATTGCCTTGTTCCTCAGAGTTTGTGGAGTGGGTGGCTGGGAACCAGAGGTGGGACTAGTTCCACTGCAGAGGATCCAGGTCACCAGAATAACCAGGAGAAGAAAATCTAACAGATGGATGCAGTTCCTGATGTTACTGGCCTCTGACCTCCGCATCTTTCTCAAACCCTTGCCTGGGTTTGCAAAACCAGAAACACTGTAAAGTCTTGACTGTGAACAAACACAGAGCTATAAACTCAATGCAGTGCAATGTTCCGAAATAGTGCTTCCCAAGCTGCCATGTGCAGACAGAGCACCTGGACATCTTGTTAAAATGCAAGTTCTGATCCTGTAGGTCTGAGGTGAGGCCAGATTCCACATTTCTAACAAACTCTTAGAGGATGCTGCTGGTCCATGGATCCTTCCTACTATATCAGGAGGCTACATCTTTCGATGGCACCTGCTGGCTGAGTCCAATATTCCACTCACTTCCTTGCGTTGACCCTCACAAGGAGCCTGTGTCCACTGGAGAATATCTAACCCACCCCCACCTTGCAAGATTCCTTTCTAGTTAGGACCCCACTGTGCCCTCCTCCACCCCCTACTATGCTCTAGATGAAACAAGTGGCCAGCTGGATCCCAGGCTGGCCAAGCTCTGTTCCAGCCAACTATCCTCATTCCTGCCCATCTCTCTGCCTAAAACACCTTTTCCCACCTTTGAGTTTTTAGACACTCCCTTGGATCCTTCTTCACTGGCACTGCCCCCAGCACCTGTTCCACTCTGCTACTTATATAAACTTAGTCAAGTTACTTCACCTCTCTGAGCCTCAGTTTCTTCACCTTTAAAATGGAGAAATAATGATGTTCACCCTGAAGGGGGCTTTCTAAATAGTGAACGAAATGATACACATAAGGGGCTTAGCGAGGTGCCCGAGACGTACTAAATAATCAAGAAATAAATCAGTATCACTCTGTGAAATCTCCTGGGATTTTTCCATTTACCTGATTTCTAGTGCTGCCACAACATTTGGCTTTTTCTTATAAGATGGCCCTTATCACCCTACTTTGCAATGACCTATTGACTGGACAGTTGTTCCCTAGAAGTCACATGCACCATGTTTTACCCACATCAGGACCATGCTTTGCCCACATCTGCTTTCTCAGAATCTAGCCCAGAGACAAGTACAGAGTGAACACTCGCAGCTGGGGGTCAGGGAAGCCACAGCCAGTAGCACAGAGGGTTGACCTGTGTCTATAGGTGGCAGAGCTCACAGCAGAGTACAGGAAGATACCAGGGAGACTCAGAAAAGCAGTAGTTCTATTTAAATGAGTCTTCCAGATAAGCACTGATTTCATATCCAGGGAAAAAAAGACATTTCTCTTTATTTTTAAACATTTCTCCAAATGTTCTAAAATGGATTTTATACTTAAACGGAGCACAGGGGTCTAATACAACTGCTCCAAGATGACTTGGAACAGACATTACTTCTCGTCCCCAGGGACAGACTTGGTTTGCCTGGTACTTACTCTGTTTTGCACTCATTGTCTGGTATTGTTATTTATAATATCTTATTTAATTCTTCTGGTGTCTCCTAGTTCGGATAAGAAATTATCAGGTGATCTAAACAGTAATAGACAACTCTGGATCAAAGTGATAATTCCAAGGGATCCCAGAGGTAACGATGAATATTTGCCATGAGGTGTTCAAAACAAAGCCAAAAGATTCTTTGACACAATTCCTATTGAAGAAGGGGTGTCCATACCCTCCTTTAAATCTAGGTATGTTCGTGACACCTTGACCAACAGCACATAGCAAAAGTACCTCTGTGCAAGTCTCCAGGATGAGCCTCAAGAAATGGGCAGGCCTGCCTCCTGTTTTCAGCATGCTGACTGTTGGAACTCAGCTGCCATGCTGTGAGGAAGCCCAAGACACGCTGTGGAGAGGCTCCTGTGGAGGGAAACCAAGAGCCAGGACCTATTTGCCAGCCATGTGGGCGAGTCGCCCTGGGAGTGAAGCCTCAGCCTCAGCTGTGCTATCCTAGCTGAACCTGTGTGGAAAGTCACATGTCCCTTCCAAACCCTGCTCAAAATGCTAATTTGGGAGCAGGGTAAGTGCTCACGTTGTTTTCATTTACCTGTTTGGGGATATTTTAATGTCACAATAGATAATAAGATCATACACCCAAAAAGAAAATGCTGCCAGAACATTCAGCTTTCAGACTGGCAAATCTCTAGGGGGAGTTCCTGGCATACATGCTAGCCTCCATTAGCATAAATGTTATTAATATTGATATAAATATAACTTTCTTTGTGCAGAAAAAGATTGCTAGGGATTTCACGAGCCCGGTAACCACAGGGTTTACCAAAAAGTGTTCACCCTGACGTGATCAGCACCAAACCTAGGAACAAGATGAGTCACTCTGAGATGGTGACATGAAGGGTTTTCATAAATTGCCCTGTCATCTTCAGTCTATGCAATCATGACCAAGTAAGTCCTTTTACCTCTCCAATCAAGGTAGTTCAACTATATCATGAATATACATGTCACAACCCTTTCTGGGGAAGCTGATATTTCAGATCTGGAGTGGAAAGGTCATCTCACATGTTCATTACTTCTTTTAGATGTGAGCTCCCTGAGTTTAGAAGAGTTCACTTTCAGAGCAAAAAAGGGAAGTGAACAAGGAGGGGGCAAAGGAAGGGAGGGGAGGGGCAATGAAGGGAAGAATCTATAGAAAACGTGCCGCCTACTTGTGGGTGCCCAACCCTCTCGGGGGTGCCCCACAATGTGTTTGTTCATCCAGCTCTGTGCCTCACCTGCCAGGCATGTGCCAGGCCACAGGCTGGGAGTGGGACGACCACCAGTGGTCAAGACACACGCAGTCCCTGCCCTCGTGGAAGGGGCCCACTGCCACCGAAGGGGAAGAAGCCACTAGGAAAGACATGGCAGTAATCATGTGTGATGTGAAAAGGGAAGTGCAGGGTGGGGAGCCCCTTGGGGGCAGAG